TTAGATGTTCGCTCACTGATTCCGGATATATTTCGATTATTTAGTCTACAGTTGTGCTTTGTAACTATTAATTCTAATTATAGTCTTTTTCGATATAATTGTAACTCCAAAAGAAAAATAATATGCAAACTAGATAATGCAATATAGGATTATATTGTGTTGCACATGTACCTGAGATGTCGCACTGTGATCTGAACTCTTTTCAACTAAACTGTCCAGCTTCTCACCTCGTGCAAGCATGCTATCAATTGTTTTATGCTGCATCAAAGAGATAATCATTTCAATGATTGAGAGAACTTCTAATCAATCAAATCCAAGCTAACACAAGCATACTAATATTTTTCTAATTATGAAGAAATCTTTCTTTTGAAATGATATAATTCATCACAACATTACAAAGAAAAAAAGAGATCCAAATATGGAATAGTGAACAAAAAGAACATTGGAGCTGAGGATGACATCGTAGTGCGATAGCTCAAAGCTAAAAGGAAACAACACAAACTCGTCACTTTTCCCACAAAAATAGAAAACTGCTTACAAAGATGATTTTAGTCTCATCCAACTCCCTCTGAATTTTCAATAATTTATCAGCATCCGCAGGGTCCTGAAAATGGTAAAAGGGTTATGTATGGTTTTTCAAATATAACACTCCTATAAAGCTCCAATATTATACTTAGAAAAGAAAACGTGAGATTAATTTGAAAGGTGTAAGTCCCCATATTTAAACACAACAGAAATGAATGAGAGAGAAAACAAATACCTGAAACTTGGTCAAAACCTCATCCAAATAGGGCCAAATTTGAGTGTTATCAGCTTTTGCAGTTCTCCATGATTCCCCAAAATTTCTCTGATATTCATCCACCACTTGCCAAACATTACCGTTTGAAATTTTCCAAAGATCCCACAGAAGAACATTCAACCTCACAAACATATTTCAGAACACCATATATCAAACGTGAGGAATGTGACCCACAGACTCTAAACGTCATCTTAAACTCTTAATATCTTATACGCACAGACACAGACATAGACACATCCACCTCTACCCATCGTCCCAACAATCTAGTTATTGCTATAAGATGCAAAGAGAGGGATTGAGCTGGAAAATGAGACTTAGCTATAGCTAAGATAGAAAGTAAGCAGAGAAACAAGAATGAGCTGAGGTCCGAGATAGGAAATGAAGAAAAACTAAAAGCTAGGAACATGGAAGCTGAACAGGGAGTTACAAGATGAGAGTTGGTGGGTCAAGTACCAAAAAGAGGAACGTGTAGGAGGAATAAATTAGTGGTTACTGAATAAGGTGAGATTAAGCCAATATTAGGACAACTATCAATAAATGTTGCTCATATACATTATAGTTCATTCCATAATATCTGCATCTATAAAGATCTATTCATGTAAACACGACTGCAATCATCAATGAATATATCATTTCTCTAATTCCTCTCTTCTTCTCTATTTTCCCTTTCCATTCATTTCCTGCTATAATCAGTCTCAGGCTATGAGAACCTGATAATATAACCACAGAGAACGCCAATGCAGAACACCAATATTGCAGTCAATAAGATTCGATGATACTAAATTATAAGGTAAATCATGACACAGAGAAGATAAGAGTTACACTCTGTTATATTACCTGGTTGAGAAGCGAAAAACACTTCGAACAAGATAGTGACTATCCATAAATCCAATTGCACAAAGTCCATTTCTTTTGTAAGAATGTACCATGTACTCTACATTAAAATCACCAAACATAAATAAATAAATCATTATTATCATAATTAACCAAAGATCTTCTCAAACCTAAAACATAATCATGATATTGATTTTACTGATAAAATCGAAATTTCAAAAAATATTTTCTTTAAAAAAACGGCAATGTAATACACGATAAAACAAAAGAAGATGCAGATATGGTGTTATTGATCTAATTGCCAAAGATATTAATAATCAAGGAAACAATTATTATCTTGTAATGAGAAAAAAATTAAGAAAGGTTCACAGAGGAGGGACCTTCGTGCTGGACGAACTGGCGCTGATCGGGAGAGGTTCGTTTGCCGACGGTTCGAGAGACGAAGATGATGAACTCCCTGACGCTTGGCCTTTAGAAGAAACCAAAATGGCTCACGTCGGATGCATTGGCTAGTATTATGGGATCGGATCCTTCCGGCTGGCACTTCAACACCAATAACGCAATGATTTTCATCTTTCCACTTCTCTTTCAATTTTCCCTAACAAAAAAAAATTGACAAAAACAATTTAGTATCTTTCTCTCTGCAAAAATATAAATATAGAAAATACAATCTGAACGCCAGAAGGGAGATGGGAGACTAATACACCAGAGGCAAATCTGAACACCAAATCGAAGAAGAAACAAATTTTCTTTCAGCCATAACCAAGCGGGGAGAAGGGTGTTTTAGACAAGAGGACTGAGAATAAACAAATACCTAAGAAAGATGGGGGAATGATATTCCTGGGAAAACAGGAAAAAAATACCACTGTTGATATTCATTCTTTACCTGCACTTGGGAATGTAACTCCATCCAAACATGTGTATCGTTACCCGAAAAAAAATTCCTCTCAGGAATAAAAGATGACGTGAACCAAACGAGACCTTAATACGTTTTCCTCTTCCCTGTCTTTAGCTTCAGTAGAACAAGTAACATAAATGATCTAGATTCCGAACAGGAAAGGGAAATGGTCTTGGATTTCGTACTGAAATTTTTGGGATTCAACGAGCAATCATTTCGGGTGGAAAGAGGGAAAGAAAATTGGGTAAATTCGACTTTTTTTCTTAAATTATTTTGGGTTTACAAAGAGACCCACAATTGATTTTTTTATCGAAAGTCGAAGGGTTAAAATATGTCACATCATCAAATTAACGGTAGTCAACGCTTTAGTGACTAAGACGTAGTAAAAAAATAATGTAAGTAACCAAAAGTTTAATTTTTTAATCTCAATGAGAAAAATGCTACAAATGCTAAACGAAAGCGATCAATTCTGTAATATACCCTATATTAAATTTAATTATAAATAATAAAAAATATTAAAAATTGATAATCATTTAAAACAATTTTATTATATCTATATAAAATATTTTAATTGTGTATTTTTTTTATTAAAGTAAATGTATCTTAAATTTTTGATGTTGAATTGATAATTAATCATTTTAGAATATGATATTTAAAAAAATTATCTTGATCTAGTCCAAAAATTCACTCTGAGTCCATTGATATTTCAACCTTCAAAATTAACTCATTTTTATTGTCCAAAATAACTACTTTATCTCTCCTATATCAATATTGATTTTTTGAGGATATAGCAATATTGATTTTTAAGGACAAATAAATTATGCAATTAGTTTTATATTTATATATTGAATTAAAAAAATCAATAAATCAAATCGTCAAAATAAGATTAAAAATAATTAATTGAAAATAAAAATACATTAAATGCATGTCGCAAGAGATTTACGTAGAAAAAGTAGTTTGCTTCTAATATTTTGAAATCATGTTTTTGCTAGTATTATATATACCATCCAAGTCTAGGATTTTTTTTACTCCAACCTACATGAATTATAAAGGCGTAATGACGTAATTAGCTTCTAATATTTATTTAAACAATTACTTTAGTTCTTATTTTTGAAATTATTTTAATCTTTAACGTTTTAAATTTTGATAAAAAAATCACTATTAAATGAAAATTATTAATTTACTACTGATCAATAAATGTTATATGTGATATTTTTATATGTACATAATTGATGACATGATACATGTTATATTACTAAAATAATGATGTGACATATACCACGTCACTGAAAATAATAATATATCATATGTTATTTCACCCAAAATAATAATATATTATATACCACAATACCAAAAGTGATGGTTTGTCACGCCAACAAAAATGATGATATGATATGTGTCATGTCAATAATAGTAATAATAAGACATATATCACATTACTCAAAGTAATAACGTGATATTTGGTATAATTAAAAATATCAAGTCAGTAACTAGAGATAGACTGAAGAGAACGGGTGGAGACAGTCGCCCCTGAAAATTTATAATTACTATATATTAAAGTAAATTTTTGAATTTACATTTTCAATAAATTTTTAATTTTAAAATTAAATAATTATTCTTTTGCGAGATTTAGTCCTAACTTCTATAGCAATTATATAATACCTTGAAGGGAGTAGGGTTTCTCTTACTAACTTCATTTGATACTTATCTATACCTTAATAAGCATCTATATTTGAATTTCACAAACTATTTCATTTCATTTATTTATTTTTCTAAATATTTTAAGGGATTAAAATAAAATATTTATTTAATTTTTTTAATCGTGATAACATACATATATTCACTTACGTAGTTATTTGAATTCAATATCTCTAAAAAAAATTTCCTTTAAGGTTTAATACACTTTTAGGTGTTTAAATTATACTTTAAATTGATTTTTGGTGTCTAATTTTTTTTTGTTAAAAATATGTGTCTAATGTTTTCTCTGTTACACTTTTAGGTATCTATCGTTAAAAAAGATCGTTAAGTGACACTTATCACATTATATATATATTTATTTTTTTAAAAATAAAATATTATTTCAAAATATTTTTAAAAATAATATGGATGTGGCACATATTACTTAACGATTTTTTAACGGTAGGTACCTAAAAGTATAAGAGATAAAATATTAGACACTTAATTTTAATAAAAAATTCTTTAAACACAAAAAATCAATTTAAAGTATAATTTATACACTTAAAATTATATTAAACCTTCCTTTAAACATTAAAATCAGATGAATTCATTTTATTTATTTATTTATTTTATAAATATTTATATATTCAAAAAAAAGTTTATGCGCGTAACAAGATTTAGTATATATAAATATAAATGTAAAATGATTATAAAAAGTAAATGATTAATTAAATATAATAGCAATTGTTCCATCATCCAGCCATTTGTTTATACATTTCGATTGATTTTAATGTATTGCTGTCATATTCTCCTAACAACCTCTTCGATCTTCTTCGCTTCACCGCCATCTCACCTCTCCCATTTCTCTCCTTTTGAAGCTTCCTGTCATCTCTCACTCATTGAATGCTGTATTTCTCTCTAACCTTGCCTTCACCCGACAGCTAAGTAAGATCTTCCTTCTTCTTCAATTCATTCAAGATTGTTGATGTTCTTTCTTCTGGGAATCCGGGTCTGTTTTTCTTGAGATTTGGGGAAAAAACCCATTTTGTTCTATTCCCCAATGATGCGAAAGTTGGTATGTAGGTGGTAGCTTCCAGCTTCAATTTTTGAAAAATAAAAGCTGTAATTTGAGTGTTAGATATGTATAGCTGTGTTGGTTTTCTCTGTACTTGAATGTTTTACTTGATGTGATGTGTTGCTCTATTTTGGAACTCTTGTACTTCTATGAGCTGAATGGGGGACATTGATTTCGAACTGATGCTGTAATTTTGTTAATTGTTAGTTAGGAGTTGTTTATAGAGAAAAGGGTTGTTGAAGATCTTGAAGTTATGAACTTTTCATCGTTTTTGGTTGGGAGTTTGTTGAATGTTGTGGTGAGCCGAGATGGTAAAAGAAAGATGCCTAGTTTCAAGAATGGTTCTGTGAATATACTGGTATTATAAATTGATTGAGATGGTGAATAATTTTAGGAGTACATCATTTAACAGAAGGGCGTTGAATGCCGAAGGCCCTGGAATTTTAAATGCTGCGAGCCCCAAAGCTTTGAATGTTGTAAGCACTAAACCTTTGTGTTTCACTAGTCCTAGAGTTTATCATAGGTTGTGCTGGGTTTCACGCTTGTTTCCTGTCCTTACTCTCGTTGGGACTTTGCTTTCATTTATTATACTACTTAATGGGGGTTATACATACGTTGTCCCTAGTCTGAGTCAAGCACTTCATGGTTATGGCGTGTTAACAACCAATGATTCTAGAAATGTGTGTGATACTTTTGATGGAAGCTGGGTTATAGATGATGATTACCCATTATACAATGCTTCAGATTGTCCATTTTTGGAAAAAGGATTTAATTGCTTGGGAAATGGCAGGAAAGATGAAGATTATCTCAAATGGAGATGGAAACCTAAAAATTGCGATATTCCAAGGTTTAACGTTCACAATGTCCTGGAAATGCTTCGAGATAAAAGGATTGTTTTTGTTGGAGATTCTATGAGTAGAACGCAGTGGGAATCATTGATATGCTTGATCATGACTGGAGTAGAAGATAAGAGGAGTGTTTATGAAGTTAATGGCAATAAGATAACAAAACGTATCAGATTTCTTGGTGTTCGGTTTGCTTCCTTCAACTTTACCATTGAGTTCTTTCGCTCAGTTTTCTTGGTGCAACATGGTTGGATGCCTAGGCATGCACCAAAGCGTGTTAGGTCAACCCTTAAGTTGGATAAACTGGATGATATTAACAACGAGTGGATTAATGCAGATGTTCTCATATTCAACACTGGACAATGGTGGGTTCCAGGGAAGCTCTTTGAAACGTAAGTTGCCTTCAGTCTGTTTATGAACTTATATCATGGAAAATATTTATTTCTATGTTGACTTCTAGGGCAATATCCTCTATTTTCTGGGTTCTCACGAATAATTTCGGCAGCACTTAGAAAACAGTGCTCTAGTCTCTTTTGCATTATCATTTTCCAAATTTACATAATTCAGGTTGGTAAATGCTACCCTGTATTTTGCCTTTATATATGTTTTTCCATTATTCAAAGTCCACGTTACTTAATATTGAAGGAGAGTTCCCCACCCCCCAAAAAAAAAAAAAAAAAAACCCTCACAATTCTCCCTTCCCTTTCCTCTGTTGACCTTGTAGAGGGGAAAATTAGCTGTGGTAGCAGCATGTGGAAGGTTTCCTAGACAGTTGATGCTTTGTATTTACTATTTATTGTTTAGCATTTTGTCCTATGGATGTCAGAATTCAGACTAAGAAGGATTCTTTAGTTTGGGAACTCTTACCCTGTTGCACTGCAGAATCAGGGCAAATTATGAAACCCACAATCTTTCTTGCTGGTAAGAGTCATTTTAGTGTTTTGCTTCTAGGTGACTACCTGAACTGGGATTAGTTTACTCCATTTAGTAATAGTTTCTGGTTTTTTAGGTTGCGACGATTCAATTATTTGGTAATGCATCTTTTGGCCTCAACTGAGGAGCTCGAGACTAAAATTGTATAGGATAATAATTAATGAGAGTGTTTCATAGTTTCTACATGGATTCTTGTGGTGCTTATTTTTCAATTTGAATCCCTGCAAATGCTAGCTTACAGCTTTTTCCCTTGTTGAAGGTTGGAAAGCTAAACCCAGTCCTGAAGAGAGGATTAAGATCTATCAAAGTATAGAATTCAATGTATAATAAATGTTGATTGGAAACTAAGAAATAGTTCATGATTACCTTCATGTATTATTTTCATCCTACTTTTTTCCGTCTTGCAGTTTGTTCAATAAACATTTCTCTTTTTCGCTGCCTATTCAAGTTTAGCTTCAATTCGAATGATTAATTAAACTGATTCTTGAAGTGTACAATTCAAAATATTCTAAACTGAAGGATAATACTGGTGAGGCCTCGCTGGCCATTGTTGTACTCTAATTTTTATTCGTCAAATGTGTTCTTACCTTGTGGTATCCAATGAACTTACTGTGACGAGCTGAAAAAACATTTCCCAGATGCTTTTACATGTACATGTAAGAAAATTTCCTAAATGTCTTCTTTGGCAGTGGTTGCTACTTCCAGATTGGGAACTCAGTAAAGCTTGGAATGACAATTCCTGCTGCATATAAAACGGCATTAAGCACTTGGGCATCATGGGTTGAGAACACGATTGACACCAGCAGAACACTTGTCTTCTTCCGAACATTTGAGCCATCTCACTGGAGGTAACCAATAGTACTATGACTCTTTTTCTGTCCTTTTCTCTCTCATATAGCATATTGTCGGGGGAAGAGGGATTTGAACTCTGCCCTTTGAGCAGGAGAACACTTGTACCTATGACTGAGTGGAATGCTCTGATGCACCATGATGCTCTTTCAGAAGACACACCCAAAGTGAACTCCTTTTGGTTGCTAATTAAATTAAGTTTCCCCCCCTTATTTTGGATTGCCCTCCTGTTAATCTGTGGCACGCAGACACACATATGTTGCAGCCTTTTCTCTTTTTCAACAAACAACCCTGAATTTATTTCTATGTACAATTTGAACTGCCTCACAACTTGATATCTGCTTCACAGTTTTCTAATTATTTTTCATTCTTAAACCCTCTGATAAAAGGCTTTGGAGTTGGTTCTATTTCATGTGTTCCTTACCATCTACATATTATCTATTATAATATTTGCTTATTTGGTTAATTTCCAAATGAAATATGTTTGTCAATTTACAAATCATTGCTATTTTTGGTTTCTGCGTCAGTGAAAAATCCCGCCGGTTTTGCAATGTGACCCAGAACCCATTGTCAGAAACCGAAGGGAGGGATCAAAGCATTTTTTCGGAGACTGTATTTGATGTGGTAAAGAATATGACTGTTCCTATAACCATTCTGCAAGTAACTTCAATGTCAGCCTTCCGGAGAGATGCACATGTGGGTGGGTGGAGTGACAATCCATTGGTACCCGATTGTAGCCATTGGTGTCTTCCCGGTTTACCTGATGTCTGGAACGAAATTTTCCTCTCGTACCTGCTTGCTGATTATGGACTTTCTGGAGGGAATGGAAATGAAAGGTGAGTTCATTTCCTTTCTATTTTCGCTTCTTTCTGTTGTAATTTTATACACTGCTCAGTTTGATATTTTATCTTCTAAGATGAGTGCAAACTATTAGATGCTGGAATGGCTTGCTTGTGTTCCTTTGTTACTATATTCTATGTTACTCAGGCTCGCGTATAAATGTCGAATACGAGTATATATCTTTCATGGGTGTTCCATGTATTTGGAGGTCATATCTTCGTTTAAATGTTTTAAACACTAGAGCGGGACATGAGTACTTGAAGAAAAATGAAGAATCAGAGTCGAGACTTACTTCGTCTCCTTGCTCCCAAAAATATTCCATCTCTATCAGAATCAGAGTTTGGAAGGAAACCGTTTTATGTTGTCGTGATGATATCCATAATGTGAATGAACTCTCTCATTGATTTGTTAGGTGTCGATTGAGTAGTCGGGTCGGATTACTTTAGGTTGGGTGGAAGAAGTCGGGTCATTTATGGGTTATTGTAATTTCTGTTTCGGGTCATTTAGGTTTGACCTTCGAATTATTTGGGATCATACTTGAGTTTATGTCAGTGACTTATAAAGTCAAATCAAATTGGATCTTGAATGAATAGTTTAGATAAAGTCAGATTTTTTGAACCTTTATTATCAACTCATGGCATATTTTCCATTTTGATTTTTAATACCATAGAAAAATATATGGTAGAAAATAGGCCACATTGCAAATGTTTATGTACGATTGAAAGGATACTCGTGCATTTTGAGTCGTTTCCTTTCTAGTAGTTTTGATTTAGTCGTTTTTGAGTTGAAGTCATTTAGGGGTTGAGTTGATTGTTCAAGTTAATTTTTTACGAACGTATCGAATTTGATTCTAATTCGATTTTGAACAAATTAGGTGTTTTTTTTTGGTATTTAGAACAGCTTTGACAGCTCTATGATTGATGCAGACTGGATGGGCAAGTACCATGACTGAACCCTCTTGGCCGAACTCGAAAAGAACAGGGATTGAAGTTTCTTGGTTCAAATGAGGGAAGAACCCAATTTTTAGTTTTGATTTTTACAGGGAAGAGAAATCTGTAAGGGAGGCTAATCTATTTGTTTCATTCATTGGTGCCTTTGTCTTCATTTTTTCAACATTTACAACGACAAGATTGGGGCTAAAATTGGGGGTATTGGGATGTTTGTCTGTTAAAATGTCAAAATTTTGATGATTCGATACATAGAAAAACATACAATATACTTGCTGTTGTACCATTCATTATATACATACTCTCTTCCACTCAAATTTATGTTCCATACTAAATGTTGATCGTAAAGTTTACAAAGCAATTCCGTTGCTTCAGTGTATCATCCATGCAAGCTTAAAAAAAAGTATGTTTAGGGAGAAAATCAGGGTAAAATATTGGGATAAATTATTTAGCTTTGAAACGTAAGGGATTTAAAAGGTATTTCTTGGAGTAGTTCGAGTGGTTTCAGTCCAAAAATACGGCTAGATATAAATTTTTCTAAAAGTTAAAAATTAAGGTTTAAAACTTAATTTGTCTAATTTCAAAATGTATAGCAAATTGATAATTAAGATTTTGTTATAACATTAAATTGAAAATTTGATTTTTTGACTTAATTGAATTTGTCAAAAATTTGTCAAAAATTTATCAAAAATAATTCAAAGTCCAAATTAACTTGAAAAATGTATTAAATGTTTTACAACTTAGTCGAACATTTTCAAAAATATACTCGATCGTTTTCGCACTTTAAAGTTAAGTTTCCAAGCATTTTTTGCTCAAAGGATCAATCCTTTAACAAAAGGATCGATCCCTTTGACCAAAGGATCAATCCCCTTGATAAAAGATCGATCCCTTGGATTCCAATGAGTTTGAGATCGATCCTTTCACCAAAAGGATCAATCCCTTCCCTTAAAAGATCAATCCCTTTCTTGCAATGGTCGAATTGTTTGAAAAAAGATCGATCCCTATCACCAAAGGATCGATCCCTTGTGCATTAAATATTGTTTTTGGTTTTAAGTAACGACTATAATGATCTTCAACGACTCCAAACTGCTAGAATTAATGGAGAAAGTATAAAGTGAAGGTCAAAGCTTCCCAAGGTCAACACGAATCATATTGCACCAACCTACCAACATCAAAGCTTTGTTTTGTACTTAATTTGTCAAGTTCTTTGTTGTAAACACACTTGTGAGCTACATTGTTTATTTTGCTCAAGTGTGCATTGGGTGAGTGTTTAAATTGTGCAAACTTATTTTCCTTTGTGAGGTTTTTCTTTAGTTTGCTAAATTTGTAATTACTCATTGGGAGAATATGTATTCAAGGTTTTGGGGCATAAACCTTGAAGTGTGCATAAGATTACACCTTGTCCTTAAAGGTAAGCAAATTTAGTGGATTTGAGAAATCCTTAGTGTGGATGCTAAGGTAATGGATGTAGACTTGGTTTAGATGTCGAACCACTCTAAATTATTGTGCAAAAATTTATATTTTTCGTTTTCTTCCACCAAACTTTTTAAAAGGCCAATTCACTCATTCTTGACATATTTTGATTGTTTGTAAGAGCTAACAATTGGTATCAGAGCGGGTCTCTATCGACAGTTTAACAACCTTGAGAAGGTCCTTAGAGAGCTCTATCAACTTATTCAATCAACTGATAAAAATGACTTCAACCTCCGACTCCTACTCATTGAAGATTCTCAATCGGTTAACAAGCCACTTTATTTCAATAGAGCAAATTATGTCTATTGGAAAAATAAGATGATGCTCTTCATTCAAACAAGTGATCTAGAGGCTTGGGAATCCATAATGAAAGTTCACTCTACTCCAACCAATGAGATGAAAGATTGGAGTGAAAAATAGAAGAAGAAGTTCTAACAAAATGCAAAGGTCATGCACATTCTATTTAGGTTCAAATGAATATAGAAGAGTCTCCTCTTGTTCAAATGCCAATGAGATTTGGGACAAGCTCCAAGTCACTCATGGAGGAACCGATAATGTAAGGGAAACAAAAATTGGTCTTATCAACCATAGCTATGAAAATTTCAAGATGAAACCGGATGAAGATATCAAAGCTATGACGGATAGATTTTCGTGACTGTCAATAGCCTCAAGAGATATGGAGAGATTATCCCTAATGAAAAACTTATGAGGAAGATGATATATTTTCTTCTAAAATCTTGGCAATCAAAAGTCTCTCACTCTTGATGAGCTTATTGGTTCCTTGTTCACCAATGAATTGATGGTAAAAGACGAAGAGCAAGAAGAAAAATAGAAGGAGAAAAAGAAAAAGGATGTTGGCATCACTCTCAAGTCCACCAATGAAGATAAAGAGGGCTCAAAGGAAGAGGTGGATGAAGAAGACTAAGAGATGACCAAACTCTTCAAGAAATTCAAGCGATTCATGTCATCCAAAGAAAAAAGAGAGTAAACATGAATCGAAGAAGAAGAAAAATCATATGCTATCATTTCCACACTTAAAGAAGAAATAATCTAGCAAGCCAAAGAAGAAGGATTTTTTTGCTGCTTGGAGTGATGAGAACATCGCCAATGATGAAGAGGATGAAGTATCCAACATTTTCCTTATGGACATCCAAGAAGATTCAAAGGTATCTGTTGAGTTAATCGATCGACGAATATGGCCAAGAGGGGGGTGAATTGGCAAATAAAAATTTCGGTGGAAGCTATGCACAAAATTGAAAGTAATTGCGCAGCGATTTAGAGTGGTTCGACTTTCTCAACCAAAGTCTACGTCCACTACCTTAGCTATCCACACTAAGGGTTTTCCATAAATTCACTAATTTGTCTTTCTTTTGAGGACAAAGAGTAACCTTACAAATCCATCAAGAATTATACCCGAAATTCTTGAGAACACTCTCTCCCAAAGAGAAGATTACAAATTTGCAAACTTACAAGGAAATCCTCACAAGGTAGATTGTTTGCACAATTCTAGAACAAAGAAAAGAACACTCAAGAATGAATACAATTGAGTACAAGTAGTGTTCTTGAAAGCAAAATAAATATTGAATGAAAAATAGGCTTGAAATGCTCAAACTTGAGGTTTGATGCTTTCTCTTTGATTCTCTCTTGATTCTAGTTGCTTGTTGTTTCTTGTTATTGATCAATGGCTTCTAAGCTTGTTTAAATACACCTTCAAATGATTCTGAACGTTGGGTATGATTAGTGGAGTCAATAGAGCCGTTTAAGTGTGAAAACAATTAATTAAAGCAGTTGGGAGCGTCAGTGCATCGATGCATACCCTAGGTGCATCAGTGTAAAATTCAAATATTTTGACCGTTGGACTCTCGGTGCACTAAGAGTGCATCGATGCATAAAATGCATTCGATGTTTTGAAAAAGCCTGAGTGCATCGATGCATCAAATGCACTGAGTGCATCGATGCATAAAATGCATTCGATGTTTGAAAAATTAATTGGTGCATCGATGCATGGATTGGTGCATCGGTGCATCACTTTGAAAAATTGATTTTAGGCTTGATTTTGGTTCAAAATACTTTGTGAAAATTGTTTCAAAAATAGTTTAAGTATAAAACACAATTTTACACATTTAGTAAGGTTTGAATTTGAACTTGAAAGACTTTGAGTAATAATTTGATATTCGATTAATTAAATTGAATATACTTAGAAAATCATTTGTAAAATATTAAAATTCATTTAAACTTAATTTGTTATATTGAAACACAAAAATGTTTTTAACAATCTCCCCCTTTTTGATATAACAAAACATTTATGTTATTTTAAGATTTTCTAAAAATTTGAAATCAATTTTAAAAAATTACTCCCCCTTACTATAACACCTTCTCCCTTTTAACACTTAATATTTCTCCCCTTTTTGTTAAATCAAAAAGATTTAAAAACCGATTTATACAAGGTTTTGAAAAATATAGCCAATTGAGTATATATATATATATATATATATATATAGCTTAAGCTGCTAAGATCACAATCAAAAGAGAGATTAGCCATTAGTTTCATAAACAATATTCATAATTAAATGTGAAATGGCATAATTGGTCAAAATGAACTAATATGATGCAAAAATTAATAATCATTAAGCTCAAAATAATAAAGATAAAATCAAACCAAATATATATATCAAGTTTAAAAACCACAAAGCATCCAAATTAGATCTTCATACAAATTCAAACAATCCAAATAAAAAATAATAATCCCCAAAGTATTCAAACTATTTTAACAATAAAAGTTCAAAGATGATCCAAAACAAAATAAGGTCTACTCGTCCATAGAGGGATCGGGAGGCGGATGAGGAAATCGGACTTGCATCTCAAGAGAGAGAGCATCTATGCGTACAAGCATCTCCCTTTGAAACTCCATCTATCGAGCTTCCAAAGTGTCTAAGCGTTGATTTACTACTTCGTGAGTAGCAGTCAAGTGGGATTCGATGGAAGCATACCGTAGATCAAATGTCTCCAAAAACGAACGAAAATATGGAGGCATTTGATCCTCTTGTGGGGTTGGTTCTGGTGCAGGCTTATCGCCTGGAACGTGATCGTCGATATCTTGCATAAGTTGTTGAAACTCAGGATCATCGTCAGCAGCTGGTGCCGGAGGAGGAGCACGAGAAGAGCTAGGAGCAGCTCGTGAAGAGCTAGCTCCCGGGGTTTGCTTACCGGGTCGAAATACCCAAAGACCGGTTTCCTCGTCTTGTTTCCAATCTTCTTTCTTCAAGGAAGTAAGATTGATTTGGTTTTGGAGTGGGATAGGATTATCGAGAGAGACGTCTAGACCAAGTTTGATAAAGAGGTTACTAAGAAGACATCCATAAACTAATGTTTCGACATGTTTTGAAGGAACAATGTTTATGACATCAACTAGTTGACTGAAGATAATATGGGGTAGATTGATTTTGATCTTATTCTTGAGACAGTGCATCCACCACAAATCCCTAATAGGAAGAGTGGAGTACCTACCTCCGGATGGTCTAAACCACCAAGAGATCATCAGATGAAGAAAACGATCGTGATGAGATCGTAGAGTACTAACACTATCGTTTGGAACATAGGGATAATCTACAGTTTCATTCTCATTATATAACCCATCATCATCTAATCCAAAACGTGAAGCTATAATCGCGGGGTCAATATTAATATATTGGCCTAAAAGATATGATCTAATGGCTATAGTCCCACATTGAGTTTCGTTTTGAATACATACCGCATTGGAATAGAAAATGCGGACTAATT